CCCTAAATTTGTTACTGTTCAGTCGATAAGTCAAAATTAACTCGCACTTGTACCCCCAGTTTCGTAATGGAAATGCTCGTTTGCAAGTGCGAATTTATTCGCTCTTCAACCAACCATCCCCTTAAATTTGTTACTCTTTAGTCGATAAGTCAGAATTAACATGCACTTGTACTCACAGTCTCGAAATCGAAGGACTCCAGCAGTAAAGTCGCGTCTCTTCTCGGCCCAAAAAAATAAAGTCCTCTTCTATTTGCGAGTTAACTCGCCACTGAACCAACCACGAAGGTAATTTCTTATTGCACGGCGTAATTGAAATGCTCGTTTGAAGTGCGAATTTATTGGCATTTGAACTAACCACGCCCCTAAATTTCTTGTTGTTTAGTAGATAAGGCCGAATTGACTCGCACTTGTACCCCCAGTTTCGAAATCGAAATGCTCGTTTCAAGTGCGAATGTATTCACTCTTGTTCCAACCAGGAACTTGATTTCTTACTGTACGGTGAATAAGTCCGAATCAGCTCGCATTTTGTACTCTCGTCTAAAAAGTGTGAGTTTACTCGGACATATCCAAACCACTTGCACATTGAACGAGTGGGAGAGGAGTCAGACTTGAGATAGCACTTGAGGTTCAAATCAGGGTCCGACAAAACGATATGGATTCTAATGTTGTTGTTCCACTGTTTTTGTGAAAAATATTAAAAATACGTGTTTACTCCCTCTTGTTTATTTCCCTTACCTCGTCATACGTTGACGTGATTTTCTTGTTGTACAGTTTTCGTGTGAATAGTCTCTTCAAATGGGTGTACAATCCGTCCATTGTGTCACGCCAACGCCACCGTCACGACAACACGGAGAAGACGATGTTCGAGAACGTAGTTCTTCTGACGGCAGCCCGGAAGCTCCCTCTAATCGGCATTGCGGTTTGAAAAGGGAGTTCTCGATGTTGACCCCGACGAATCATTCAGGCTCGTCTACGACGTCCGCTCGACGTCGTTTTGTTCGCTTTACCGACGTTCCCGACGGTCAGCGCGTATCTACAAGACTAATCCCCGATGGTGAGGGTATTCGATATGTCGAGACGTTTCCCAGTGGATGGATGTTCGTGGACAGAGATCTTTGTGGTGTGTCCGAAACGACTGGATCAGATCTCGTGCGGACAGCGGGTAGACTGTCTGAAAGCATTGAAGTTACCCAACCCCTAGCATTTGACTACAGTCGGTCGTTGGTGGATACAGACTTCTGCGGTATGCCTGATAGAAACGGATTTGGCCGGGAACAGTGCGGTGCATTTGGTAGAAACACGTCTGATAGGGAACACGCAATGGAACGTGCGTGTGAAAGTGTCGAGATAGGTAAGAGAATTGCATGTGAAGCCGGAAATATTATAGCCACGGGTGCAATGGAAAATTGGCAGCATGGTTTTGTAGACACAAATTTCTACAGTTCATCGGAATCCTCCCGATCTGATTTGCCGAGAACCGCTCCGAGTCCCACGGACAGATCAAAATTCCTAGGCGCAGCGCATAGGTCCCTGACCAAAAGTCACCCTGGAACTCCCGAAGCAGTCCTTCAGGTTTTGTTTCATCCCCTACCTGGAGAAAGAAGAAGATATAATCGAAAAATTAGGCCAATTAGAAGGTCGGAACATTCGAAGAGGGCCAAAAGTTGATTGAATGAAACTAACATTGTGCTCGTCCCGACACACAAAGTGTTGTAAGAACAAGTGTCTTCGGGTCTTCACCATTGACGATATCAAACCGGTGCGCGAAGCCTATTACGAAATATCCCTCGAAAGGAGGATTGAGTGGTGGATGCAAACCCTCGACAATTTCACTATCCTCGACGGTGGTCTGGAAAGAGTCCAACCGGTGCAGTCCAAACGCCGTGTGTGCATCGCCGGTTGGTGCAAAATAATAGGGATATGTCGAAACACATTTCGTCGTTATAGCAAGTGCAAGTCAGACGGGGTCGTCCGTGGACGGCATGGTCGATGGGGATTGTTGAACCCGAGACCGGAGTATGTGAGCATGCTGGCTCGTGTGACAAGGTTCGTGGAAGAACATGGAGATGCTATGCCTAACGAAATGGTTGTGAGGCGGACCTCGAAGAGACCTAAAGTTAGGCTCCCTGCTTATTTCACGAAGCTCCTTGTATACAAGTCCATCAAGGCGGACTTGGAAGCGGCGGGTCAGATCATCGTTTCGGAGCAAGTCTTCTACTCCATATGGAGGAAGTACTTGTGGCATGCCGACCTTGCCAAGTCCAACTCGTTCACAAAGTGTGGCGAGATAACGCCCTTCGCCTTCATGACCGTAGGAATTTCGATGAAAAGCACCGCAAACACCAACTAGATCAGGTCGCTCACCGTGCGGATTACCTCCGTCTTATAGTGGATGGAATGGATCAGAAAAAGACAACCATTCCTCATATCGGCATGTATAATTACTCCAAGGATCATCGACACGACATGATGATGAAAACGAACCTGACCGCGGTCATAGCTCAGGGCAGGAAATCGTCCATTTATGTTTACACGTATTTGCCTTTCTATGCGCACGGTTCCGATGGCACCATGACGTGCGTTATGCGGACTCTATATGAGTTGCAGGCACCCCGTGGTCTTCAATAGTAGAGTCGTCTGACCATTGCGCACAAATTACGTGTTGGGAATGAGTCGAGATTGAGAGGTGGTTGCAAGACTTGCGCCAGATACAAATGAGTCGAGATTAAGAGGTGGTTCCAGCACGAATGACGTGTTCGAAATACAGTCACCTTGTCACGAGGGTGATCCAGAACCTGCCACTCGTGAAGAGATGACGGACGCGTGGCGCGTCCACTGTGCAAAGCAAAGATGGTCAGACCCCGACAGGAGGCACGTAAAGCTTTGTGCCTGGTTCTGCCTGGGACAACCGGTTGTTCCCGCACCGATCATCATAGATTATTACGGTCGCATTCGGGTATTCAACCATAACACGATGGTCGTGACACTGTTCACGACCGTGAAGGTTGACGGTCGAAAGATGAAAACTCTTTTCATTGCAAGGGAGGAGTTCCCAGGAGTCGCCCTCAATTGTGTGCAAGCGTTTCGCAGCCCCACGGCCGAGGGTGCGCTCGGACGCTTCAGAGATCGGTTATCGCACGATGCGGCATTAAGGAAGGAGCTCAACTTCAGAGTTGAGTGTTTGGTGCACTCTCAGTTGCACTACCTTCTCGATAACTGTGACGAGATTTTCTGGAGAGTGGAACATAGGGACCACAACTAAGAGACTGTTTTTTTTAGAGGAGGAATATCGTCTGTCGACAGCCCATTATGTGTACGACTGTCCGTACTATCGCAACGGACCTCCTGCATATCTGTAAGGAAAATGGTCCCTAATAGGATAGTAGTATGACCGTTCCACATGAATGACGTGTTGGAAATTAGTCAAAATTAAGCGGCGGTTGCAGGACTTGCGCTCACTTGCGAAGTGCGCATCTACTCTCACTTATTGACCGACATGAATGACGTGTAGAAAATAAGTCGGGATTAGACGGCGGTTATAAAACTTGCGCTCTTTTGCGATGTGCGAACCAATTCCCAATTATCGAACCCTTTCGTGCATGTCAAGATCCTGTATTTGTTGCTTATGCGCTTGGGAGAATCGCAACTGACGCGCTTACTTGCGTTTCTCCTCTGATGCAGAATGGATATCAGGACTTCGTCGCAGAGTAGGAACTCCTCAGCGCTGGAGATCGATCTGATCATTTTGTCGAAGAACATTTGGGAAGACAATGGACGCTCTGGTCTGGACCGTGACTACCTGCACCTCGAATATGATGTTGCCCCGGACGGAGAAATCCCTTTGTGGCAAAGTGCGGAAGAAGGACACCTTCGGATTTGTCGTGATGTAGGGTCGAACTTTTGGTACCTGTACACTCTGATGAAGGATGTACAGGCATACCCTATCAGGGTGGAGTCACTTCTGAAGAGGGAATCCGTCGAAGAGGAACCCGTCCAAACTTCTAAGATGGTTAAAGCATGGCATATTCTATGTGAGAAACTTAAGTGGGCGTTGTTGGACAAGTTGCATAAAAAACTGTGTGCCTGGTTTTGCCTCAGCCAACCGACGAAGTCTGTGCCGGTGATCGTAGACTACTTCAGTCGAGTGAGGGTGTGTAATCGAGGCACCACCGTCGTGACGCTCTTCACTACCGTGAAGGTGGACGGTCGACGAAT